AATGCGCAGCAGTAAGATGGAGGCATAGAGCTCGTAGCCAGCTTGCAGAGGCAAATTGGTCTGTCGTTCTTACAGCGACATTCGTCGCCTTAAACATTGCGAACATCAGTGATTCGTGCTAGCCGTCTGGGACCACACCGTCCTCCCAACACTTCGAACAGAGCGCCGTCGCCCATTTTCTCGCTGGCGACCCTGGCGCAGCGAGGGCTTTCCAGAGGTCTCCAGGCACGCCGTCCGAGCCGCACGCTTTGCCCCATTCCATCTCACGGGCCGCTGTTTCCGCCACGCTGTCAAGTGTAGGGCGGAGGTCGACAGGAAGGGCTGGGCCCAGAGGTTCTGCGCGCATACCCGCAGTGTCCCAGGTCCCAGGCATCCCATTCCACTTCGCCGAAATTCTCAGCCAACGTTTCCGCACGGGCTTAAGAATCGACGATGAGCCCTTCGCGGTTCCAGAGCCAGCTTTGCTGCGGGTGGAACCTCTTGCGCAGTCGTCGCAACTGGTTCCAGCCTGCTGTGGCGAGCAAGATTTCCCGCCACATTGTGCGGTGTCCTCGCGCAGACCTCCCGACCGCGACAGCAAGGCTCTTCTCAGCGCTGGTCGCGGGCCATCCTAGCTTCTGGAAAGGGTGTAGCGTGCGGCCAGATATCCACGGCCAGCGCGGAGTCAACGATGCCGTCGGCACAATTTGCTCTGCGGCACGGTGGAAGGCGGCCGTCATGGCACCATCAAGTTCGTTGGCAGACACATCATCTTCTCGAGCACATGCTCTGTCCATCTGGTAGGCAAATGGCTCGGCGAAGCCAGCGGCTCTGGGCGGTGACTGGAGCGAGCGAAAGTTAGGTCGCTCTGCTGCGGTGGTGGCCGCGCCGCTGGCGGGAACGATGTCGACGTTTGCGGTCAGGAGAAGGTGGTGCGAAGCCGACGCCCGCCCCGTGTCGCTGAATGAATGTTTAAGCAGGCCCCCCCATTCGGAAGACACCAAGATGAAGTCGTTTTGGCCGAACTTGTCCAGTGTAGGCTCGTCCCTTTGGCTCTTCCCGATATTGTAGCACGGGATTGCGAAGGCCTCACGGCCAGTGCCGCCGACCCTGAAGGGGGACGTCGACGATGACGGCGGCGGTAGCGTCGACGACAAAGACGACGCTGACGTGGGCCCGAGTCTTCAGGGATGCTTCTTGGGGTCTCTTGGAAAGGCTCTTGGGGGCCTCGGGGGAGGAACTTTTGGGGCCGCTTTGGAGCCTCTTGGGGGCTCTTGGAAGCCTTGTCGGGTGTCCAGGGGGCCTCTTGTGGCCTTCTTGGAGCCTCTTCGGAACCTCTTGGGGCCTCCTGGGAGGTTCTCGGGGCCGAGGGCTCAAAATGTCCATTCGGGTTCCCCGTCAAGGCGCGCTCTTGGAGCTGTCATGGGAGCCTCTTGGGCCGTCTTGGAAAAGCGGAACAAGCGAGAGCGGCCAAATTTGTCAACCCTTAGGCGCAATCTCTGATTTTTGCCTCTTATGGCCCTCTCGGGAGTGCCTTTGGAGGCCTCTTGGGGCGTCCTGGACGTCTCCTGGGCAGTCTGGGTGCGTGCAGGCGCTCTGGGCCGATCGTTTGGCGACTTGGGGTCCCCTTGGATCTCGGGAGCCTCTTGTGGCACTCTTGGCTTGTCTTGCTTGGGTACTTTTTGCAGCCCCGGGACCCACAGGAGGGGATGGGTATCCGACCCCCTCCCCACTATCAGGCGATTGCAAACACGGATCAAGGGGGCGTGGATTAGCGACGGGTCCCGTTTCCATGGGAAATCGCGGATTTGCGCCGCCGCGAGGCGGCCCTGGCCGCATTTTGGGGAGGGCACTTCCCCCGACCCATGGATTTGGCGACCGCGCGCCAAGTCCATGGATCGCTAATCCATGTTTGCGGCGCCCCCCGACACTACCCCCCTGGGACCCCCCCCCGACGGGGGAGGGATCAAAGGGATGGGGCTTCCCTCCGATTCGATTACGACATTGCGAGGCTTTTGTCTCGCTGGCAGGCTTGAGGAGGGTGCGGGGGAAGGGGGCGACGCAGGCGACGACTGGCGGAGACGACGACTCGAACAGACAAACCCATTGCACACGCCGAGAGGGTCGACGTTTTTGGCGATCGGGAGGCTCATCAAACAGCGCGTTGCCGATCGTCCAGCTTCAGCTTCGCGCAAAGTTTGGCCAGCAAACTGCGGTTCGAAGCAGGGTTGTATTGGGCAGCTGGTGAGCCGAACACAAACGGCCCCATGAGCGATTCCTCGTCGGGGAAGCGTCGATGCAGCCTTGCATTGAAGCCACCCATGGGGAAGAGCGGCCCGTGGCTGGAAAGGTCCCCTGCGAAAGAGCCTAGCTCATCGTGGAAATTCCGGCGCATCTCCTCTGAGTTGCCGTTGCGTGGGGCGTAGATGTTACAACACGGCCTTCTCACGTGGAACGTGTAGCTTGAGAGATGCCATCCTCGCTGTCTCTTGTCGGAAACCAACTGCGCGCTGGCGGCAAGCGGTGCGATCAAGAAGCCAAATTCCGCTGTCTCCGCTGGGGCACCCTCGGGGGCCCCAGAAAGGATGAGGAATTCGGACTCTATGGTGTATTGCGCAGAACCTGTCGTGTGAGTTTCTTGTAGACACAGTACATTTTTTTTTGCGCTCATTCAAGTGGTACTCCAGCTCAACCTGCTTCGCACCTGTCAACCCCTCCACGTTCCATGAAGCGATTCGTAGGTACCGCTCGGAAGGAAGACTACGACCACCGCGAAACAAGCCTCTGCAGCGGAGCCAGCTGCAGCAAGAGCACCACCAGGTAGGGTATCATGAAATATTATTGGCGGCTGCGTGTGAAACAGGTGAAACGTTGTTCATGTGCGTGTGCCCTTCGCCAGCAGCTCGCGGCACTTGACCCCCAGCTCCTTGATGTGAGGATGGGCGTTCAGATCTGCCCAGTTAGCCCACTCGCCCTGCCATGCGTAAGTCACGACGTCGTTGGATACGCTCACCATCAGCGCATGCTCCACGCTAGCGGTGAAGATGTACGGCGCCTCGTCGGTGATGGCAATTCTGTGCGGCACCTCCCACTCGGTCCGCAGTATGCGCTCCAAGCCAGAACAGTAGTAGCATGTTGCACGGTTTGCGATGGTGCGGTCCTGGCTGGTCCACGCACGTTTCGCCCCGCTGAACAATCCAGCGTCTTGGAGTGCGTCGACAGCAGGATCACGATTACCTCCATCCTCGAACTCCGCGAATCTGATGCCTTTGAAGCGCTCTTGCTGTGCGCCGTCGCGGGGTCTGGCGCCTTCAGAGAGGCGAGTTTGTCCTTGAGCCAGATCGTGGCAGTCTCCAGGTCGGCGAGGCCGTCCAAGTTTCCGATCACTGCGGCAGCCGCGCGCTGGGCGGCGACCTTGTCCTTCGGGGCGGCGGAGGTTTGAAGGCCCAGGCCCAGGCCGCGCTCCGTCTTCCAGTAGTGTTGGATGCCCTCGCGGATTTTGGACTCGAGGGAGGCCATGTCCACCGGGGGGCGCCGAGCGAGATCGTCGGCCGTGTTCTCGAGCTTCTCCACCGGGACGTCGGAAATCGACAGGCGCTGTTCCAGCGACTAAGCGTTCCGAGAGAGTTGCGTTCAGATCGCTCAGGTTGCAGTCCATGCGCTTGGAACTCGTTCCTCAGATCGTCCATGGCGGAGCGGACCAGGCTGGTGTGCGCCCGCAGGAGGGCCGCCATGCTCTCCGTGGTGATCGCCCGCGCGCCTCCGTGGTCGTCGTCCGCGACGTCGAAGCCCCGCTGTCTGAAGGGGGAGGCTCGGATGGGCTCCTCGTCGTCGTCCTGCTTCTCGTGGCCGTCTGCCGTGACTATGCCGGCACCTGGCGGCACGTGCCCCCCGGCCTCAGCGTGTATAACCCCCCCCCTGGACAGGTGAAGGGGGCCCTGCCCGATGCGAGCCTTTTTCCGGGCCCTCCAGTTTCGTCCACGGGTTGTTGAGGATGGCAGCAACCAGGATTCCAGAAACACGGGCGCGACCACATGGCGCATCTAGAGTCGACAAGAAAGCGGGAAGAGCAGCGGCTGCAGCGGCGGCCTGAGATGCCGACGTGGCTGGCGCAACAGGTGTGGTGCGGGTCGTAGGGGAGTGAGGGTGGGCTCACCGCTGCCCCTGGCAGGGCGTCTGTGCGGCAAGGATTGGATAGTATTGTGTGTTCCTGGGGGGCATTCAAAAAATGAATGCCCTCGAGCCACTTGAGAAACGGCAGCGGGTCAGAAATTCATGACGCTTCGCGAGTCGCATTCCGGAAGCCGTCAACCTACCAGCCGAATGGCTTTTCGCCGAACAAGACCGAGGTGCTCACCTGCTGCGCCTCCACTGGATCGAGAGCAGAGCCTCCCTCGAACCTTGTGACGACGGGTTCGAACGAGTGCGCGGCGAATGTAGGCGGATTCAATCCGTGGCTGTGAATGTGACGGTCACCGAAGTCGAGCAGCGTCTGCGTTTGGGCGAACTTGACAGATCGAAGGTCCAGGAGAAACTAAAACCCAAACATAAAAAGACGTACTACCGCCTCGACTGGCCCCCCGCCTACCGTATCTAGCACAAAAAGACGGACGGCCACTGCACGGAACGAGTGGTGATTTTCCTATGCGGCCTCTCCTCCGACGAGCTTGCCGAGATGGACATGGTCTGGCCTGGCCTTCAGGACCTCGGGCAGTCTCTCTCCCCCTCCGAGTTCACGCGGCTCCACCTCCCCCCGAACACCAAGTGCCCCTCCAACTCCTGCATAGTGCAATACAACTTTGTCAAACACGGCACTTTCCATCCTAACCGTCTGGAGAGCCCCCCTCTGGGCAAGCCGTCCGACCCCATCTACCGAGTGGACAGGGCCCCCTTCCGACCTTCAGTACTGGAAGCTCCACCACGCCCTCACGGAGATCTGCATGCGGAGCCATGACCCTCACGACCTCTTTGGCGTCCCCGTCCCCGTCCTCACGTGTATCCTGGGCTTCAGGAGCGCAGAGGTCTCGGACAAGCAGGCTGCTAACGAGGTGCACTCAGGTCACGACAACGGCATGGTACTTCGGCGTCGAGCAGCTTCTACTCTCAACGCGGCCGTCGTGGACCCCGACACCTTCGACGTGGCCGACCCCAACAGCGCGGGGCACCCAGCTACCAACGCGGACGAGATTGACAGAAACACAGGCCAAGTCTTCCAGCGCACCAGGTGCGTTCGGGTCGCTCAACTGCTCGACCGCACGGCTACCGCACGCGGCCTCAACGAGCTTTCGAGGCAGGTCCTCCACACGAGCACCGCCCACCACTTCACACTGGTGCATGGCCCCCCTGGCTCGGGGAAGACGACTGCCATCGTCGCTCTGGTGTCAGCGTGGCCCCCCACCCTCAACAGCGGCCTTGCCGTTGGAGTCTTCACTGGTTCCAACACAGCTGCCGACCAGCCCCTCAAGTCCTTCTCTGCAGCCAAGCGCAACACCCAGCTCGAGGACAGCATCGGCTTCCCCCGCGCCTTCGTTCGGCTCGCCCGCCGAGAGAGGGTGGACCGAAAGGTGGCCCCCCTCGCCCCAGGAGGACACTGCCATGCCGTTCACGGCAGTTATCCCCCCGAACACGGCGACAACACCGTGTTCAGTTCTTGCGCGAGACAGCTGCTTTATCAGGCACGCGCAGTCTTTGCTACGCACGAGGCCGCGGCCGAGCTGGGCGGCAAGTCATCCTTCCCACTGGGCGTGATAGACGAAGCCGGCCAAACGAATGAGGGGGGCGCGGCTGTGTCTCTGGTCCACGTCATCCGCAGTGGCGGGCACCGCGTGGTGGTCGGCGACCCCCGGCATCTTCCCCCCGCCGTCATATCGAAGAAGGCAGCGGATCTGGGCCTCGCCCCGTCTATTTTCAAACGCTTCCGCGACTCACGCGGGTGGATATGTCCCACCGAGCTGCCCCCGCGGCCGCCGGTCCAGGGCAGAACCACGCGGCGGCCACGCATCAAAGGGCGCTGCGCCCCCTCTGAGCTCCTGCACCAGACCCCCCAAGCGTGGTCAGCTGGAACCGAGAACTGCCCCCGCCATCTCGTCTACCCCGACTGCGACACCTTGGCCGCGCTACTAAAGGGCCTTGATTTGTCAGCCCAGCACCGGGTCGACCTGCTAGACCCCAACGGCCGCGTCATGTCGACTGAGAAGGCCCGCTGCGTACTCAGTATCATGATGCTCATGAAGCGCGAGCCGCGGACGCACTGATGGCCTTGCCCGGGCCCCTCCGGGTCAGGAGACATTCTGGAGGCCGCCCTCGGGCTCTGCTGCCCTCGGCAAAACGACCGCGTCCACTTCCAGACCCGATTCGCGGAATCATGGGGCCTTGACCTTGCCGACTTTCGCCGGTTGCGCAGCCAGCTGGAATCCCTGATCTCTCTGGTGGGCAAGTTGGTGGTGGTTGCCCGCCGCCGCGCGGCCGCCATCGACGCTGGTTGCCCCGCTACCTACGCCGACATGGGGAGGTTCCCGTTCAAGCTGAAAGCCCCGATGCTGATTCTCGAGAAGATCGTGGGGCCCGCCGACCTGGGCATCCTTTCCCAGTCGTCATGCAGCACCCGCGCCCTGCGCCGTGACCTCGCGGGCAGCGACAGCGGCGCAGGTTCCGACGACGCCCTTCCGGGGCTGGCTTTCCTCGGCGGACGCTTCTCGTTCGCCGGAGTCCCTGGGCAGGGCGTTGCCCCTGCGCCACTCCCAGGCGTGACCGAGATCCCGAGCTACCTGGCCCCCAGCGACACTCGATTCAGCCTGGACCGGAAGGTGGCAAGATTTCGGTGCGACCTGTGCCTCCGAGTTGGCCATGGGTACACAGGGCACTTGGCTCAGCGACGCCATCCGTTCGTACCTGGCGCAGAACTGCCTGCAGGCCCACGCAAACGGGATGGATTGCCCATGGCTCTGCGGCCAATGCTGGGTTCGTGAAACGGAGAGGCAGGGCTCCCAAGTTCCCCGCGCAAGCACCCTGCGCGAGCAGGTGCGCTCCTTCGCGCTGTCCAAGAGCCCCGCCAGGGCCCCTCCCGCGGAGGCCCCCCCCGCCGCCCGCCTGCGCGTGCGCGTGGCCCTGCCCCCCCCCCCTGTGCACCCAGGCGACCTCGAGGAGTGCCCACTGGAACCGTCGGGCCTCCAGGTTCCGGAGAACGCCGACACCGTTCTCCCGCCCACTCGGTTGGTCGACGACAGGTTCGGCAACGCAGCCCAGGAGACCGGGCGTTGCATTGCGATGTGCGACGGCTGCCCCCCTGGGTCCCTAGCTCTCGTCTAGAAGGTCGGCTTCCCCGCACTGGGCTGCTTTGTGTGGAAGGCTGATGAGGAGGCGCGTGGCGCAGGCGCAGGAGGGCCCCCCGCCTGGGGAGATCGCGCAGTTGCCTGGCACTCCCGCAGGTTGAACGCCACGTGGATTTGCCGCCGGTGCCTCGTCTACGCATGTGGCGCCCGCCCCAGCACCATCGACGCTCTCCTCGACCGTGGCGCCCACCTGATCTACCCAGGCTGCGCCGCTACGAGGCCGCGCCCAACCCCCGCTGTGCCGGACGAACCCTCCCTGGCCCACGAGCTGGCGCCTAACCGTGCCTCCGCAACAAGGACTGGCGCGTTCAGCAAGGGCGGCGGCGCCCACGTCTTCGTTCCCTCCGAGCAGTGCGGGAGGCCGCCCCCTTCCGTGGGTTAGTGTTGATGCGCAACCTACTACCTTGCGCCGACCCACCCGCTGACCCGACACTCACATCCATCGACATTGACAACCTACAGGCAGCCACTGGTGCCGCGCAGGATCGCGTGGAATCAATATCCATCGAGGCGAGGCTAATCGAGCTCCTGCGTGACCTTGACCCAGCTCTGGACGACCTCTGGAGGGACTTTGCAGACACGCACGCCAGAGACGCTCGGGGCGCCGAGTCCCCAGACAAGTGGCCTCACTACGCCCCTTCCTGAAGAAGGTCTACGGCGACAGAGTTGCCCCGAATTTCCGCCCCGCTGAACTCTACTGGGGCGGCAAGAGGCTCGCCGCCGCCCGCGTGGTCGTTCACCTCTGCGTCAAGTCCCCCAGCAGCCCACTACGCGCCAAGTGGGTCCAGCACGCCGACCAAACAGGCCCCTCGCGCGGTTCTTCCCCGCTCCGGCACACGCTGGACGCGCTAGTGAGATTCCTGAGCCAAATCGACTCCGACCTGCCCGCCACAGGGGCGATTCGTGAGCTGGCCAAGGAGTGCCCCTTCGAATGCACCCAGGAGTTATGTAGGCAGCTGGGCGATGCCCCTGCCAGGGGGCACAGCAGATCAGCACCCGCTCACCACCCGCCGAGTTCCACGCCTTCCCTGGCCCCTCGCCGGATCCGCTTGACTGGGCCACTCCAGCACGCTCCCCCTCGACGCCCGCGCGGCGCGGGACCGGCCCGTCCCGCGCAGACGAGCCGAGCCCGCGCTCCCCGACAGAGAGCCGCCCGCCGGCGCTGAGCCCAGGTGCCGAAGGCCCCACCGTCAAAGGACTGCCCCAGGGCACTCCCCCCCCGTGCAAGGTCTCTGCAGCGGAGCACTCGCCCGCCGACAGTGGCGCCGCGCCAGCAGCGCGCAGCGACGCCATCTCTGACGCCTCCGTGGCCGAGACGCGTAGCTGAAGCCGTCCCCGCCCCGCCCGCCGCAGCGGTGAGAAAGGGGGCTGTGGTTGCCTTGTCCCCGTCCCCTAGCTCGGGCCCGCCCATGCTTCGCGTCGACTCCGCCCGCGGCCCCGCGGTGGGCTCCAGACCCTGCAGCCCCACCTCGCCAGCGGATGACCCAGGGGGGAGTCCTGAGCCACGCGAACAGGACGACAGGATATTGGCTGGCCCCTCTGATCGCAGGGCCCCCCCCCCCCCAAGTATGGCCGCCCTGGGGCGGCCCCTGTTCGCTGCCAAGCGGGGCGAGCGCTGGGGTGAGCGCCGGTCGCGTCGACAGTATGAGTCCAACCGTAGTGGGCCATGCAGCGGCAGCTGGACCGGGTGGTCGGGCTGTTCCAGCGGGCGGCCAACGAGCGTTGGGGTCGGTCCTCTCGCGCCCGTGAACCCCCGTGCGCCGACCACAATCCGACCCCTCGGTCGGCCCCGTGGCCCCCCTGCGCAGACGCTCAGTCCGACCCCTCGCAGGACCTGAGCGACCCGCGCGCCGGCCAGTACATGTATCGACTCCCGCTGGAGCGGGTCCAGCTCTCCCCCCTCCGCGGCGAGGGCCCCGCCGAGACTGTGAAGCGCCTTCAGAAGGAGCTCGGGGAATATTTCAGCGGGTGTTGGCACCAGTGGACGCACGGGACCCCCGCCAGGACCGGTTATGTTTTTGCCGACCCCACCAGGCAGGAGCCTGGGTCTTGAGAGCGCTTCCTCCGGGTGTGGCACCGCCGCAACTGCCACCCAATGAAATGGATGAGGCTCTACAGCTCCAGGTCGACTGGTCTGCGGTCCGCGGCAAGTTTGCGCGCCGGACTAAGGGGGGGGTCGGGCAAGTCCCAGGACCCGTTGCGAGCGCCCCTCCCTCCACTGGGCACGTCCCGGCTGCCCCGACGGAGCCGCCCGCCTTCCTGCGTCGACCGCGGAGCACCCAACGAAGGTGCCGACCCTGACTCTATGAGTGACCCTCTTCTCACCGGGGCCAGCCCCAGGCGGGGCCCCGCGGCGCGCTGCCTCGACTCCGCGCCTGTTGCCGCCTCGGGCGCGCCTAGCTGGGGTTGCTGGCTCGCCCCTGGCTCTCAGGAGACCCTTGCTCTTGGCCCACCTTTGCGGCTTCTCGCCCACTGGGTGATCGCCGCCCCCCCTGCCCCGCCTTGGGCGCTGCTCGGGGGCCCTGCCCCCCCCCCATCCGCGGAGTGACCCGTGCTGTTAGATCGCTTGCGGCAACAGGTCTGGCCGCCTGACGCAGCGCAATGCCACGACCACCTCGTGACTGTTGGTCGCGCCCCCCGCCGCTCCCCGTTGCGCCCCTCTGCGCTGCCCTGCGACTGTCAGTCGCTTCTCACCTCGGCTGCCCCTCGGGGTCGCTCCCTATCTACCGCGCGACTGTCAGTCGCTCCCCGCCGACTTCCTTCCCCTGCATTTACGCTGGCCTTGCGACGCTCCGCTCTGTGGTTGTCAGTCGCCCCCCCTGGCCTCCGCCCCCCGCGCCCGCTCTCCGTTTGTTCCGCTTCAAAATGCAGTGCGCATGTCAGTCGCCGCCCCCTGGCTCCCCCGCCCGGCCCTCCCCGCCCCGTGCGCGACGGCTGTCGGCGTTCGCGGCCGCTACGGCCCCGCGCCTCATGCCGCCCCGCCGCTTGTGTGCTCGGGCCCCTCGCGACGTTGCGCTTTCGGCGCCATGTTGCCCACCCCCGACGCCCGCCCCCGCGTCGCCGCGGTTGCCCTTGGCCCCGCCGTCGGCCCTGCGCGAGACCGCCAGGCAGGCTGGGGCGTGGTGCCGGGGCTTCGTGCCGCGCCCGCGGGCTTCGCTGCTCCCCCCGCAGCCTCCAGCCAGCGCCGCTCTGCTGCCGCCAGTGCCCCCCCCGGTCTTCGACGACTCCTCGGG